CTGAAGGATCTTTGCTAGCTTGCGGGGCGAAAATTGCCCTAAAGAATCTCTGCTAGCTTGCCTCATTCTATTCCGAAATTATCTATGCTAGCTTGCCCAAAACGCAGGTAGTTCCGAAATGATCGCTGCTAGCCTGCCGAGCTCAGGAAGCGCCCCAAAGATTCTCTGCTAGCTTGCCATGCTCGTTCTATTTCCCAAAAAACCTCTGCTAGTCTGCCAGCCCCATTTTAATTCCTCAAGAATCCCTGCTAGCCTGCCAGCCTCACGAAATAGATTTTTAAAAAGTCCCTGCTAGTCTGCCGAGTTCAGGGGAATTCCCAAAAAGTCTCTGCTAGCCTGCCAGCGCCTAGACAATTCCCAAAGAACTCTGCCAGCTCACCCGCTCAAAGATTTCAATCGTCGGCTGCAAGTCAAAGGCGTAGTCCGTCTGCGACCATCTAAATTGATGGCATAATCGGTTAGACCTAGGAAAACGCCCTACTTGATGCCCTCCTCCAAATACTCAGTCTGCTCCCTCACAAACATAAAGTGGTTGAAGAACTGCTGGAGCTTCTCGTTGGTGTAGTTGATGCACAACTGCTCGAAGCTGTTCACCTGAATTTTTAAGTTTCAAGCTTCCTTTAAAGCCTTTATTCCCAAATAAAAGATAAATCCAACCCTAAGCCAAGCCTAAAGCCCAAGCCAGCTTAAGTCGAGCCTAGCCCGAGCCTAAGGCTAAGCATATACCAAGCCTAAGCCTGAGCCTGAGCGTGCCTGATTTTAGCCCAAGCCAAGCCTAAGCCAAGCTTAAGCCAAGCCTAAACCAAGCCTAAGCCCAAGCCAAGTCTTTATCTGCGACTTGCCTGAATAATCTCAAAGCCGGCAATGTCAAGCACACCGATCGAGTGATGCGTGCCAGAAGTGGCTTCGCCTGAAAATAACGATTTTCACGAGTTATTCAACAGAATTAAAACTACTAAAGACTATCCTTAATATTTTATGAATTTTTACCAACCTTCAGCTTCTTTATAAATGGCAGCATTGCACTTGTCGAGCACCCAGTTGAAGAGGCGTTCGTAGAGCGTTTTTGAGAGGGCCGCCACAAGGGCAAGAGTCTAAAAATGGAAGTTTAAAGGGACGGGAATGGCATAGATTTTGCCGCGCACGCGACGCGGCCGCAACGCGACGAAATAGAAATAAATAAGCCAAGAAAACAACCGAACTCACCTTTTTCAAATTCTGATTCTTCCTGATCGTATTTTCGCCAACTCTGATTGTGGGTTGAGTCAGGCAATCGGACACCAGGGATGGCCGGATGCCAAGCAGCGCGGCGACAGCGTCGATTTCTGAAGAATTCTCGACCGGTCAAATACTTCAAGGCGTTCAGACCTTTGCTGCCTTCCACATAGCTCATATCCAGCCCCGACCGTTCGCCGAATCGGATCTCGCCGAGTAAGATGCAGCTGGCAAGGATCTAAAAAAGGTATATTCATCGCCATTAGTCATCGAGATCTAATTCAGCTCCTGATTCGGTTCCACGACTGTTATGGTCCCTTTAAAAGGCTTTATATCGTATATCGTAGAACGTAAAATTTTATTTCGCGTTTCTGTCTACACCTTGTGTGGCCGAAGGTCGATTTTAACGCTTCACGGTCCCTTTAAAAGCTTTACCACGCGGAATTCGGCGTCCTGCGTACCTGTCGACACCCAGTCGACGTCAGAGCTACGCTTCTGAGTAGTCTTAAGACTTTTTTACGCGTCATTTTGAGCGATTTGTGCCTATCGATGCCTGGCTAGGCATAAGGGGTAAATTCTCACCCTTCCTGGCCCCTTTAAAATGATGCAATTGTCATTTCGAGCGGCGTGTCGCTATCGCTATATCTGAGCGGCAGATTTTCGCGCTCGTGAGTGTTTTTAAGATCCGGTTTAGGTGTCGTTTTTCGTGAAACCCAGTTGTCTAAACCTAGCCAGTCATCAGGGTCGATCCTCAAACTTCCCGGCCCCTTTAATCCGAAATCCCGAGCTATTTCCATCCTACCCTCGACTATTTCCATGTTGCCAACACGGTAATCTGATACCCCAGCCAATAGCAAACCCTTTTCTGAGTCTTTTCCACAAAGTCTCACCTCGAACACATGTGCCTTTTGTTGGTGGGTGAAGCCGAGTCTGTCGAAAGCCGCCTGCAATGGAGACAAATTACCCTCAGGAAGGTGTAAATAGTCAGCAGGGGTCGGATCGGATTACCTGTTGATATTGTCAAACGCCTGAGAGCGCGTGTTCCTCCCGGTAATTGGGGCAATTTTTAGCACATGGGGAGTTTCAACAGTTTTCGGGGTCAACAAGCTTGTCGGTTAAGATAAATTGGGGGAGCAATAGTCGGATCAGGTATCTTTTTGGAAGGATTGTTGATAGGGCAATTGTCCTTAAGAAACCTAAGCTTTAAGCTAAGCCAGAGACAAGACAAAGCCAAGCCTAAGTCAAGCCTAAGCCAAGCTTAAGCCTAAGGCCTAACTTACGTCCGTATTCTTCCCGACGGCCAGATCGTCGATCGGCTCCGCGTAAGCGCCACCTCCCGATAAATAGCGATACGCTGACGGTGGAGGTCTAAAAATTCAAATTTTCGAACAATAAACTAGACTGAAGATTGAGATCAGGTGAGCTCAGGCTAAGCTCATACTCACGCTCATGCTCAGCTATCAGCAAAGCTAGTTCTGAGCCTCAATTTTCACATCAAAGCCCAAAGTTAAGCCTACCGTAGGCCAAAGCCGAGCTAAGCTAGCTAAGCTTAATGCTGAGACAAGTTGAACCTAAGCTCAAACGAGAGCTAAGCCCAGGCTTAAGCCCATCCCAAGTCCAAGCCTTACCTGAATCCCAGGCGCTCGAAATTCTCCTCCCCAAAAGCCCCGCTGAGGAGCTGATGGAAAATGTGAAAGTTGCGCTCGCCCTCATTTTGGTTGACGACGCGAGAACGTTCGAGAAGATCTAAAAGAATGGAATTTCTATCGGTTTCTTTAATCAGTGGCCTATAAGCTGCGGCTGGACTAATTAAATTGAGCCCAATTTAATTGTTTTAGTTTTCGATTAAATTCACCCACAGCATTCAATCGATGCCGACTGCATCCGGCCGTCCTCGTTGAACTCGATTTTGATGAATTTTCCCTGGAATTTTTGGCTTTTAGAGGTGGACATGCTTTTCGCAAAATCCCGACAATCCAAATACCGACACGACGAAATCTTGCTAGAAAAAATCCCGACAACCGAAAGTCCGACCTCTGGTTTTTTAATGTCGGCATTTTTCCGCGGAGGTTTTTACTGTCGGAATTTTGACCTTCGGTATTTTCGCGTTTTGTAAAAATAAAGCACTCACAAAGCGGCTGGAATTAGCATTGGCTAGCGTGGCAGCGCTGCCGAACGCTTCGAGCACCTCGCCGCATGCGATCACATCTTGGCCGACCTGAAGAAGACGGGATTATCGTGTGTTAGCCTAAGCCCGAGCCTAGGCCAAAGCCAAAGTTAAGCCTAAGCTTAAGCCTAAGCCAAGCCTAAGCCTTACCCTCTCGGCCACAGCTCCGCACGAGTTGAGCACGAACTCGATGATGCGCTTCGTGTTCTCCGTCTTGCCCGAGCCCGATTCGCCTCTAAAAATTATTCTTAAGCATTGTTACTTGCTTTTAGCTTTATTTTTGGTATTTTGGGGCGCTCTGCAGCCCTCCATAATGCAATCTTTTTGCGAGGCCCAAGAAACGAACGTGATCAAGATTGATTGGTCGGTGCCGCCACGCCGTACTCCATCATACGCAGCCTGGGCGACGGCAAAAACGTGCGGTGGTGGGCTCTGGAAAGGGGACTATATTTAAGCTTCTAGAGTTTTTCTAAAGTCCAGATGGTCATCTACGGGTCACGTAAAGTCAAGCCAAGCCTAGGTCTAAGCCAAGCCTAACCTAAGCCAACCAAGCAGGCCAAGCCTAAGCGAACCAAGCCAAACACCCACCAAATCCAACTTTGAACGATAAATATCCATCACATCTTTCCCGTAAATCGGCAGCTTGCGCCATGGGTTGATGAATAGGCAGAATAGCCCGGAATACGTCTAAAACCAGAAGTTAAATTTTGGAAAAAATTGCTAAGATTACGTGTATAATATCGGCGGCATAGCGTTTCTGCAGCGAATCGTAGACGGTGGCCACGTTCGGCTCGGTGAGCGTACACAGGTCGTCGGCGTACGAGTTTCGGGAGACGGGGAAGCATTCCGCGTGCGGGAGACGCTTCTGAAAATTTAATTTTTTGCTTTTCCCAAAAATAAAAACACTTTGCCAATTTTTACAAAAGCTATCGATCGTTCGCCTGAAATTTTGTAAAATTTAGCACGTTTTGGATAGTTTTTTCACCTGGAATACAGCTAAATGTGACCAAAAATCTTAGTAACACACGTAATATTACTTTACTAGGCATTTTTCGACTTTTTTTTGAGCCCCCCCGATAATGTGAAAGGACCGTTATTGCCTGGGAACGGTATAGGAATGTTTTTCATGCCATGAAAATTTGTACTAGGTTAAAAATAGATATTATCATTGTTGGAAAATTGCTCTTAAAAAGTTATAGTACGCATTGGATCTTAAAAACACGTCCTTTTTCGGGATTTCCTATGGTATAAAAATTATTGCACTACGATGTCGAACCGTAACCGGTACCAGCTAATTGCTGATTTTTCAGGAAGCTGGACTTCGTTGGCCTGGCTTGGGCTTCGATTAGCTTCAAACTGCTCCTCCCCGTATTTCCGGTCGACAAGTGTCAATTTGCCGTCGCGAGCCTATGATCAAGCGTCGCCATTTTCCGGGCAACCCTGCGTCAAAAAGGCCGCGTAAAAGACATGCGATCAGCCGGCAGGGGGACCCCATGTTACACACAAACACTCTGCACCCGTGTGTAGAAGCTGTCAGTCTGTCGCTCTCTCTAGCTCTCTCTCTCTCTCTCTCTCTCTCTCTCTCTCTCCTTGAGTGTGTATATGTCGGAACCAATCTGAAACAGATTCCCCCTCTAGACCAGCTCTTTTTCCACTCGTGCTCCCATCCATCCACCCCAGAGCTGGGCCCTCACACATCGCTTTTGGGCCCCTTTGGCCCTTGGCCCCAAGCGCCGTTCCGCCAGGGCCCATTAGCACGAACGGTTTGCGGGTTCAGCAGCGTGAGAGAGAGAGAGAAAGCGAGGGAGACAGAACGAGAAAATTGTGTAACCGACCCCGCCGTGATGTCTTGTCTGCGGGTGTGAATGAGATTTTTCGGCCCGCAGACTTATGGGTTCACGGACGACCGGCTGGATCACAGATGGCATTTGGGGGAATATCTGGATGAAGCCTAGGCCGAAGACTTCTCTTAACCGGGTAACAAAAGTTAACCCTACAAACCCTTAAAACTGAGGAATCCATTACGCTATGAAAATACGGGATAACGTACGCGTAGCGTATCGCGGGCGCACCCCCAACCCATCAATCCAATCAAAAACCAGAGCCAAAAAATCCGTTGCGAGAGAGCGTGAGAGCGAGAGAGAGAGAGAGAGAGAGAGAGAGAGAGAGAGAATACGCCTCTTTAGCCCACCTTCTCAAAGAAGCCCTGCGCGTCCCGGAAGCCGACACTAATATCCCGATCGGTCTCCTCGATCACTGTACAGAGACGGAAACCCACCACCGGGTCGGCTATCCAGACCTAAAAAACTGAAATCTAGACATTCCAGGGAAGCTTACTCGCTTTTGGCCGGTATCTTCTTCCTCGGTTTTCCGATTCTCCGGAAATCTTAGGTATCTAGGCAACTTTGGGTTAAATTTAAATTCAAGCGGTTTACCTCAAAACTGGATCCATTTATTATGCATGTAATTATGAGGTCGATGTATCTGAAAAGGGCTGCTGTAGTTTTGGTTTAGGCTTAGGCTTAGGCTTAGGTTTGAGCTTAACTTCGGCTTAGGCTTCTCCGCTCAGGCTCAACTTAGGCTTAGGTCCCAGCTCAACCATAGGCTTAGCTTTTGCGCAGTTCAGCTTAAGTTTCGGTTCCAGCTTTAATCGAGCGAATGTTATACTAAGCCTAAGCCCAAGCCTAAGCCAAGCCCCTGACTTGCACCCAGATTCGACTTAGCGTTTCGCCTTGACTTAAGCCTAATCTCCGAAAACAACTCTCCAAAAAAATGACGAAGAAAAAGACAGTCTGTTCCGGGGTTCCAGACAGCCATGAACAGCCGAATGAAAAACGGGGTGGGCCCAGAAAAAACGGGCGGAGCCACCGGGGGCTCTATTACGCAACAACAACTGGCACTCAAGGGGTGGATCATCGGCTTAGAGGAGAAGCACACGCCCATCCCCGCCCCGAGTTGGCTCCTCCCCAAAACAGACTACCAAAGTAACCAAGACGTTCTGTCGGGAGATTGAACATAGCTGGAACAGTGGAATAGCATAGAAGTGAGAAACACTCGCTTTGGAGAAATTTGGGTGGAATCGGCTTCTGAAGTCTAAACGAACAAATCGGGTCCTCCAACGTCGCGTAACAACGATAAGAGGTTTCTCTCTCTCTCTCTCGCTTTCTCTCTCTCGCTTTCTCTCACTCTCTGCCTCTCTATCTCTGTCGCTGTCACCCTCTCTGCCTCTCTCTCTCTCTCTCACTCTCTCTCTCACTTTTTCTCTCTCTCTCTCTCTCTCGCTCTCTCTTTCGCTATCTTTCTTTTTTCTCACACTCTAAAACATATTAAAACATATTCCGAAAATATATTTTGGAAATGGTCAGCCAGCATCGCTATTTCGCCCAGCAGCGGTCCACCTCTGTTTATTTGGCCTGAATTTGCATCTCTAAATAGACAACCGATAGGTACACCCACCCGACCGTCAAAGGTCATTTTGTATTTGGCAGTGTCTGGAAATGATCTCTAGGCTGAAAATATTACACGGATTTACCCTGTTCTTCGTTGTTTCGATGTCTTACATCGTTATTGTCAAGTTAAAGCAGCAGCAGGTTGTTTTTGTATTTCTTTAAGAATTGAATTTTTAGATTCGGAACGGTCCCTTCGTTATCGAATTCCCGGATCAGGTGCAGTTGTTCAGCTTTACGATGATGCCAAAGGTAGGTCTCTTACTAGAGCTCGTGCTCAAAGAATCTCTGCTAACTTGCCACGCTCCCGCTGATGCTCACTGTCTTTTCCACGTCATCTCTGCAGGCGGGCCAGGGAATCCCCAAGTTCCCAGAGGCCGGATTCCGAAGGAATTTCTGCTAGCTTCACATGCTCGGGGTGGACCAATGATCTCTGCTAGCTAGCCAAGTTTTCCAGCCCTCACGGCTTCCCAAATGGACTCTGCTAGCTTGCCGGACTCAGGCTAATCCCAAAAGGGTTTCCCAAACAAGTTCCTCAGGTTTTTCTGCCAGCTTGCGTCACCAAAGCCTCAATTTCCAAGCTTCCAAGTCCCTTTCAAACGAAAATTTAGTCACTAAAATGCGGTGGATTAAAGCAACTCGTAATTGTCCAATCGTCGCCCTCGAGTTTTGACAGTCGTATGGGCATTCGACATACATGGGCATCACGGAATGAAAGTATACTAATTCAGGTATACACTACTGTATATTTTACAGTATCCTTACATCCAGCTGGTTGCTGTATCTGTCCGTTTTTTCAGAATGGTCACTCCCTGGCCCTTTTCCTCCTCGGCTCGAC